TGGAGTCATAGATCTCTCTAAAAAAGTAATCTATACTAAATAGAATTCCAATTTCATAAAGATTTTTTTACTACTCATAAACCAAATATTTTTGTTGTGTTCCTGAAATAACTCATCGCATCTGTAACTGTTACCTATAATTCATTCAAGTATTTTCTTTCCCTCAAGAACTTACCTTAAGTTCAATGGTTTCCATATAATTTCATTTATCATTTTATCTAATCAAATATTTTTATGTGGAGTTTTTTGTTTATAAACAAAACTGCAAAATTGTGCCAATATCAATAAAACCAGATTAGATTCGATACTGAATACGAGTATCTGTTATGAGTACACATATGAGATTCGTACAGATGTGGAAATGTAGAACATCGACACAAATGTTTTTGTGTTGACTGTCAGGACAACAAACACACACACACCGATCCAGATAAGCACCCATCAAACCAAGTGAAGAAGTCGTAAAAGTTTTTAGCGTGAACGGGCGTTAAAGCCGAAATGAGCGTCATATAATTTTATGAGAAAGTGTTATACATATCTTTATTGAATAAGAAAATTTCAGTTTTAGTTTCGAAGTTAATAGCAGCAGAAAATGATAATTTTTCCGGTGAAAGGGAAGCAGACTTTTCATGCTGCTCAAATGCGGGTTAAGAGCGCTATTAGCTTTGGATTTGAAAAGTAGCATTCAAGCAACTAATACCAGTAAATGGAATTAAAATTGTTGCAAAATATTTTGAGAAAGTTTTTCAGCGCTTTCATTGCCTGTAGCGGGATTTCGTTAAATCAAAATTAAATCGAATTTACTTAATCTTACGCAACACTAATTCACAGATAATTTCTGTAATGGAAAAGTTTTACGCACGATTTTATTTTGTTGTAGGTTACAATTCTGGCCATTACTTTTATTTAATGTTATTTGATTCGAGCTACTTTGGACTGCTTTTGGCAGTTTTCAGTTATTTTCTGGCCAGAGGTTCGAAAAGCTTTAGCAATACAAAGCAAATTGGCAGCTGGTGAATTGGCGAATACCGTTTTTAACTCCAGGCCCAAAAGTTTAGATTCCAGTGTTGTTTATCAAAATATGTTAATAGGATTTCATGTTTCATCGTTAGAGGACTTAATCGATAACAATTTTACTTTATTTTAATGGATCAAAAACGAAATACTAATTTGGAAATCAGCAATTTTGTTAACTTTTAAGTAAGAATATTGCCTTAAGTTATTAATACCTCACGAAACCTGAACCAACAGTGGGTCTATGCCTTAGAAAATATTTTAATTTAATTATTATTAAATTGATGTTTAACATTCGTTGTGACAAAAGAAATAAAATTCTTAATATAAACTATTATTTTCATAGAAGAGGGTTTCATCGAACAGTAGTGAAATTGTAACAAAAATTATTTTTTTTACATTATTTTTAGTTAATTGAATTTTTGGTTTTATTTGTAAACAATTTATTTAAGACTGCAAGTACTAAGGGTACTTATAATTTATTTATTATAAAATTTACAAAGCAATGAATTACAATATAAAGAATGATATAGTGCGACAGTAACACACACTCATAAGTTAAAAAGTACAATAGGTATCTTCAAAAAAAATCCAAAACTTTTTATTTTACTACACCCCCATATATCAAAACTTCAGATTAAAGAGTTTTATAAATTATTCGAATGAAGCAACTTATAACATGGTATAACTCAACCATCACCACCAGCATACCATCGATGCTCAAATGCATATAGACAGACTTATCAACATTTTGTTTATTACCAAAATTAAATTCGATTAAACAGAAATCATATATGTATATACTCTAACTTCTTATTTTCTCAAGTGTTAATCCGATATAAAACGATATAAACATTGAAAGTATTGATCCTTTTATAAACACGTTACAATGACTTTCCAATACAAAATTTGGATATATTTACAAAAAATTACTCATAACAGCTAACTTGTTACTAAACTTTCATATCGTAATAGGTTGACTTCTTAGAGCTTAACTGAATAACGACCTTTGAAAGTTGGGCTACGTCTTAGATCTACCATGAATGCTAATGTTATTACTGTTATGTCAAGCCTAATTGTTTTAAGTTTAGTATATGTTCATGGTATTTATATATGCTATTTAGAAAACCTCCGGAATCATAAAATAAAACACATACAAGCATATTAATCACTTAAATTTATATTGTCGTAATCAATCTGGGTCCCAGTGAGTGCCATACAATCATGACAATGCCTTACCCTCCAGTTCTCTATACATTTATCGTAGCCTAATTTTATTGTGACCAAACCGGGATTGGAACATTTTGAAGTCAGGAATCGCATAGTTATTACCGATATATAGTTATAACTAAGCATCAGCTACTTGTAAATGGTCCAGCTTGAGTTATCTTCGACTAATGTCTGCAATTCAACTTCATATATGTATAATATAGAGTATAAAAAACAAACTTTAGTATGAGTCTGTCATTCAATTATATGTGTAACATTGAATGTAGACAAAAAGATTTAATATGCATATATCAAAAAATATAAATTTACTACTATATATAATTAAGATGTACTCTATATATATTTACTAACTAATTGGTTTCATTTTATTTATACTAGAAAAAATGGCTAGTTATGTTTTAGGTTAAATATTTGTTCCAAAAACTTTCTCAAAATATTTACACATATTTTTCTTAAAATATATTAATCATCCCTAATACCTCATAAGGTCAGAATTAAATATTTAATTAAATGAGTAAAATGTTAGACTATCATAAACTAGCTTATATGTATTTATAAATAGATATATTTTAATATGGGCTATATATAAAACTCATTGTAAAAACCTAATTAAAGCCCATTAGCCAACTTATTTTGCAACATCATTATTTTATCATCACCTTTAACCTTTTCACAATGGAAACTTTTCCCTTGACTGATTCTATATAATTTCCAAAACGTTTACACCCGCATCATTTTGAACCCCTCCACATTCAATTTCATTAGCACTACATATATATATTATTTTCAAATTTTAGTTTTTTCGCTCATTAAAAGTTTTAGTCCATTTGAGTCCCCCTGGCACTCTGCGTATTACTTTGTTACCCCGAAAATAATGTTAATTGCCAATTTAAATCGCAAATTAAACGAAGTTTAGTTCAAATTTTATGCAAAATCTAAAAAAGGGCATTAATTTTTTCTCTTCGAAAATTTGTTCATTTGCAATTTTGGGGATTTTATTGGTTTTTTTCCTCTCATACAAAAGTTCCATTTACGATTTCATTGTTATCGCTGTTATCATCGTTCTTGTTGTTGTAGTTGTTGTTGTATTTTTATTGTTATTTATTGGTCAATTTCCATTTCTGCTTGTACTCCTACGAATGCTAATAAAAGTACTTTTGTCAATGCCGTGACGTAGTTAGAGTTAGAGAGAAGGGATCAACATATTTCTGTTTTTGGTTTGCTTCTTCCTTAACTTCAATTACTTCTTTAATATTGAATGTGCGGCATATATATATAGAAGGTGGGACTTGTGGTAAGTTAACTCAGATGTCATTGTAAATTAGATTTAGGTACTAGAAGATTGAATCTTCCCTTCAATTATACCTGTCGCAGTTCTGGGGAGAACGATAAAAGTGTCTCTCGTTTGCTTTGTTTTTGCTGTCCTTCTTTGAGGATCTTGAACAACTACAAGATCTCCCATTGAACACAATTTCAAAATTCGCTAAAGGTTTCAGGTTTGTTTTGAAACTCTGAGTTTCTCTATTATACGGGAACACAATGTGCTAATAGGAGTAGATGGATCCCCTTGTATTGTCGTTATAACCTAACCTAAGCTGACCTAACCTTCTCCACCAATTGCAAAATTGTGTCTGCTTTTGTAGCTACTGGCCGACCATAGCGAGGTGACCAAGCCACTCTTAAGTCATTAATTTTTAAATCAATATAAATTTTTCTTTCACAAAAAATGTGACTTAAAATGTTCTCTTTCAAATACATATTTACTAGATATAATGGAACCGCATATACGTTTTATATTACCCAATGTATACAGGGTACTGACTCCCAGCCGAGTGATTTACTGTACCGATGGCTAACCTCTTTGTTATAAAATTAATACTAAGTAAATATACCGAATTATTTTCAGTCCTTACTCCTTTGAACAACATGCAGTTGTGTCCCAAAGAATTTTAAACACTCAACATATATTCGTATACGTGCTATGGTAGAACATTTTAATATGAAGAGTTTCTACAATATATATTGTATTAAACCCAATGTGTCTTTCAAAATTTATACACTGATTATTCTAAAAAAATTATGCTTTATTAGAGTATTAATATTTTATAAGTAAAATAAAATCATGACTTTAGTATCGAGAGTTCTACAGTAACAATTGCATGCCTTCAAATAGAAAAGATTTGATCGATCCACCTCAGACAATAAAATTTATACACATTAGATTCCCTCTTTCTTATATCGTCTTACATAGTCAATATATCTTTCATTACATCAAAGACTACTTCAAATTAATTTTCTTTTAATTTTATTAAATTGTTCCATTAGTTCATATATTTTACCTACGCTCCTGGTTCACTATTATAGAAGGACTTACAATGGCAGCATCAGCAACAACTACAGCAATAACAACAACAACAATCTAGTCAACAACTATTTTTATGTGTGCAGAAGTATTTATGTTTTAATTGGTTTTGTTTACCGATGTTGTTGATGGTTTGGTTGTTGTTTTCCTTTTGTTTGTTGTCGGCCTTTGACTGCACATCGTTCTGTAATTAATGACGCCCAATTATGCGTTAATTGCATGGGGGGAACCATCCTGGCAATTTACGCTTTTCATGAAGTTGTTAAGTGAAACTTTTTATTGGTTCATATATTTTAGATAATCAACGATTTAAAGGTAAACACTGCAGTACTCAAACAAGTAATGAATGAAAAACACAATATATAAAAAAAAAATTTGATATTTTAGGAATTTATTAAGCACTTTTAATACCCGTCTTCTTTTCAATCCAACTTAAATATGTTGTAATTCTTGTAAATACCGAAGGATATTGAATTTCACAGCCACTCGCACTACCAAATGATGTCAAACCAATCAAATAAGTAACATTATTATAGAGATATGTCAATGGCCCACCAGAATCACCATCACAACTACCTCGACCACCTTTGCCATCTGTGCAAATATGATTCCTTTCTCTTACCAAACCTGGCAGATAATAACAAGCACAACGTTGATACGGTATAACTGGCACATCTATATAATAAAGTTCTATATCGAAAGTTGTTGTATTATCACTGGTACGTCCCCAACCAGACGTGGTAACTGTTTCACCTTCCAAGGCAGATTGAATCATAAATTTTTTTGCTAACGGTATAATCTGTACTTTCTCCGACAATTGTATAGGATTTTTGAAATATATTAAACCAATATCATCATAGCCACCATAACTATATTGTTCGTATATATGAAAGGCACTACGGTTGGTTTCATACATTGTACTTGTAGCTGCATCCGCAAATAGATTGCTACCCACAAAGGCTCGAACCTTTGTGGCTCTATAAAACACAAACGTATTTCATTAAATAAATTATATTGGAAGTAAAAACAAAAATTTACCTGAGCAGACAATGTGCTGCAGTCAAAACATAGTTCTGTGAAATCAACGCACCGCCACACTGATAAACTTTTGGCGCTTGCAGTAGTAGCAAGCCTACTTGATACGGAAACAGATTCGTACCCGCCAACGTACCGCCCGCAATCCGCGTTTTTATCGTTTCTGCATATCTGTTGAAATGTCTGCATCTCTTCAACCAATTAATGAAAGTGTGATTCAAAATCCAAAAATCGAAGCTATTGTAACCGTGAAAGTTTCTACGTTCATAACAACCGAAAAGAGGAAATATTAACGTGGCACAAGCCACAACCGCACATAGACGCGCTAACTTCATTCCGTAGTGCTTGAGTTAACATAGGAAACAGTATTAAAGCTTTCCAGAGGCTTATATAGTTTCAACTGCTGAGATGAGATGAGATGAGAGAGCACGATTGAGTGGTTGGCAACATTTGCCAGTGAAATTATTATCACGTACCAACAACGTAACTAATTGTGCTTTTATTGATTCTAATGATTTGCTATTAAGCAATTCAATGCCGTAGACAGAAATATCTTACAGCAGCAACATCTGCTGCAGCAGCATTATTTTGAGAAGTGCTGGAAACTTTGGCACGTCCCGCCGATTTACTTACATGCTTATTTTAATTACATCACGTGTGCACCGTGTTTCGTATGAGTTCAGCATTGAATGTTGATTCGGAAACTTTCATTGAGCTTAGAACACAACACCAGGCAACACAATAAGGCTTAAGATTTTTCAACCGAAATTACATTCATTTAATCAATTAAAAAGATACGTAATACTGACAATTGAAAGTTTCAGAAAAAACTCATGCCGACATTGAACTTCAATGGTATTTAGCTTCAAATATATAATCTATTTGTTTCATAATAATTTTTTATTCATAAACAACTTATAATATAAGAGTACCCATGAGACACTGTTTCTCAGTTTGCTAATAATAAAACTGCAATACGAAACTTACTTTCTCTTTCATCTTTCATCCATTCTCTCATTCAGGTCTTAGTAGTTCAAGATCTGACATTTCCCCTTGAATGACCAATCTCGCAAAGGTCACCTAAAATCTTCAAATGTTGACGTAAATGTCGCTCTCGTGAAGTTCAAAATTTATGATGGTTTAAGATTGGCACAAGAAATGATTGATAATGAACTTGGCTTGAATGCTATATATACATAAGGAATATTAACCAGTTATATTGAATACATGAAGAAATGAGTACGATGAATTTCTCGATTTTTAACCTATAATACCTTTTGTCGAGGTTGTGGCTTCACGGAAAAAGATGAAACTGTGCTCCACCTTATGTATCAGAGTCCATCTTTGGCCTAGCACAATATCTGAAATCATCGTGGCCTCTTTTCTGTCCCAACTAACCTCGCTGTTATCCTGTAATAACACGGTAACTGTTGAATGATATACTGAAACTTGGTCATCACAAGTTTTTGAAAATTCGATAAAAAAATGGAGAAGTAACTATGTTAATACTTTCAGCACCAGGATAATGCGTCAGCGCAAACTACTTCACTACGATTTTAGGGATTGAAGAAATTTAAAGTATTTGTGAATAGCAGGTAAGTGAATGGATTTCAAAAAGAGTGAATGCTTGCGCTCAAAAGGAGAATGCATGTAAAGCAAACGAAACTAATACAAAAAAAAAATACAAAAATAAACAAGGTGGCACTTATAATAAGTATCTGAAGGTCTCTGGTATGATTACATTGTTTTAGTTCTGTATTAGTTTTGATCATTCAGTTTCATAAACCAGATATGTTGGGTACTCACTTTTAAGAAGATCTCAGTCTCCATGCTGAAAGATTGTGTCTAAAGTTTCATGAATCCAAATGTTTTTATGCTATTCAAGTTTTATGCGGCCTCACAATGGGTCGTCATCACAACCTAATTCACACTTACTAATTTTTTAGATATCTTTTATAAGTTTTTTATTTTAAATAATTAATTGTGAATACGATCTATTTATGGATAAATTTTTAATTTTTACCAGACTTATTGCCGATGAAATTTAATTCGTATTAATGTTTATAACATATATTTAAAAATATAATTATTAAATAAATATTCGGTCTACTTCAGACTATCTTCAGTGGCTTTTATGTTTCATATATGTTATCTGTACAATATGAATGTTTTACTTAGTTCAATTATTTATATAAAATATTTTCTTTTATATATGTATTATGATAGCTTCACTTCATTAATTTTTTATTTATTTTCTGTTATTATTGTTTAAAAGAAAACTGCAACCAGCAAAGTCAAACAATGGTCAAGACAAACGCTTTCCATTGAAGCACTTAATTAAAAATTGCACAGTATTTAGTCATAAAAAGAAACTATAAATAATACTTCATAGAATATGTATCCATAGAGATATAGCGGGTTGCAGTTGTGGTCATAACTTGCAACTAATCTTTATTAATAACAACTAAAAGCGATGGAATCAAGCCATTGCAACTACTTCAGCAATAACTGCAAATGTCAAACAATGGTAAGATTTCTGAGAAAATGAAATTCTTTTGTTTCCAGTGAGTGGAATGGATAGATCCGTAGAGAAGGAAATGCAGGTTGCATGTGCAACCAGTTGTGCTTAATGGATGGCAAGAAGTATGAAGTAGTATTGCAGTTATGAATATTATTCCTGTGGCGATTCTTTTGAAATGAAACCAAATGAACAAAAGCCGGAAAGAAAGTAAGGAAAAATTAAAAATATGACAATGGAATAAGTAGCCCCGCCATGCTGTTGGATAAGGATTCATATTAATAATCCAGATAAAAAGCATTAAAAGTTTTACTTTTTAAAAATAAAGGACATATTAATGATTGCAAGAACTTACTTCGCTTTGTTTATATAAAGTAAAATAATAGAGTAGCAAGTTAAAAAACTTATTAAAGATACTATAGGTAAGTAATCAGAAAGGTGTACGTTAGGAAGTTGAATTAGGATTGAAAACAGTAAACGCATCAGAATCGAATATATATTCACTTTGTTAAAAGATTTTTTACATAAAATTTGCCAGAGAAATTTAAAATAAAATTAATTTTATTATTTGTTAATTCACAATAAGTCAACATAACTCCAAGTTCGAACATACTATACAAGTCAAGTATAGCAATTGGGGAATGCACATTGACTCTGAGTTTCTCTCAAAAAACTTTCAAAAAATTATTCAAGAATTATAAAATATGAGAAATAATTCTCAGATCACTGATAATGGGCATTTGGCAATACTCGAAACAGCTGTATGGTCAGCCAAAAATTAAATTAATAAATAAATAATAAAAAATATTGTTTTTCTAATTTACTATCATTCAGAGTTAAAAATTATTCAGAGAATTAAAAATTAAATTTTTTAGTATGTCGCTGTGAAAAGTTGGACATATAAATCCAACTTCATAAAAAAATCCCTATCGTTATTCTAAAAGACCTTTTTAAATGAGAAAATACTCTTGAAGTAAAAAATTAGAAAATTTGCTATAGATATATATATATATAGTAATATATATAGTAATATATATAGTAATATTCAACAGAGTTTTGAATATTCAGATTAAAGAAAAAAGTATAAAAAATGCAAATAAAGAGTGACTCGTCACCACCGATACTGTTTACTCCTAAGTTGAAGTAGTTGACTGCCTAGAGATCTGAAAGCAGTTTTACTTGGCCATGCTCAGATATTGTTGTTTATTTGCCAGTTTAACTGTTGCAAGTGAAATGCGAGTATATGTGAAGTGTATATCAGGGAGAATAATGCCTGCCTTGGTAAACTTATTCGCCCTACAATTGCCCAAGATATTTCTATGCCCAGGAACCCATATGACTTAGACCCTAATGAGTCTGGCTAACTCGTTGAGGAAAACGCAACATTTACGGATTATAAAGGATATGGCTGTAAGGCCTACCACTGATTTAATAGCAGCTTGGCTATCCGAGAAGATAAAAATTTTCAGATTTATAGATGGTAAATACATAACAACTATAAATGAGCAAAAAATTATACTAAGCATTTTATCACAAAAAGACGTTAGCAAACTTGACATCGTATTTGATTTTAATCGAACATTCAGATTCAGATAGATCTTTAGATCTATTTAAGCGGCAACAAAACAAAATTTATTTATGCATTAAAGTAAAACTGATATAGGTCACTATATACTTTTAGACATAAATCAGCATCGAGTTAAGCAGCAGGAAAAAAGCTAAACTAAAACGATCACGGAAACAGCAGTGGATCGGTAGGGTTTCCACGACATTACTTTTTAAAACCCTACTTAAGCTATCACAGATAGGACAGCTGATCGAAAAGCTAATCGTGTATGTAATCCGCAATATTCTGTGGAAATAGATATGATATGCAGAGAAACTGATAATCGAAACAGAGCCTCTATTTGAATGTAACGAATAGTTTTAGAAATATTTAAAAAATATAAGAATTTATGCATTAAATATGAATAAAGAAATTGTTAAATTATTGACTAAAACTGAATATTACCTATAATAATTTGTTTTTATATGTCAAGATAAAGAAGCTTTTAAGCAAGTGTCCGATCTGAAAATTACAACTACCTATCAAGAAATTTTAAAAGATGTTCAATAAAAAGAAACTAGTCATAAATTTTTTTGAAAAAATTTAACTTTAACTTAACAATTTAAGAAATTTTAATAACTTAAATTTAACTTAAATTCAAACAATAATTGGACAACGTAAATCTGCAAGGCTAAATCACTACAGATATGTATTATATTAAACATCCACATTTTCTACCGAAGAAAGAGTTTGTTTCAGTTCAAGCGTATGCTGTGCCATGAACTCACTCACTTATGAGCTTTAAGGACTCATAGGATCTTTTGCATTTCAGCAAGAAAGGAAGAATGATACAACAAAATCTGTCACTGCAAAGGCAGTTGCTGTAAGTATCTCTAAAGCGAATGTTAATACTGTGATTGCAATTCTGTCTCGTAGAAGTCACTTTGGATAGTATATATCTTTTGTGTTAAGTGATATTATCGAAAGGTTTTCACTTAATATATAGTAAATTCTGAAAAAATGTTTATCAATAAAATTTTAGAAGTTTCTAATATCCTTTCTAATTTTTTATAAATTGAAAAATGTATTGGAATCCTTTAATGCTCTAAGCTGCTTAAGTTCTACGCTTATTTTCTCACAATTTTGTCAATTGCTCCTGCAGTAATTGTTGCACATAATTCATGTTAACAAATTTGTTCCACTTATTTTAAGTAATAGATGCGTTCTATTGCCATTTCTATTTCTATTGAAGTTTTATTGTTGTTACTGAA